TCCCTATTTTATGGCACGAAGATAATGGTGGCCGTCGCCAGCAAAGCAGAGAAAGGTAAGAATACATTTGACTATTTTGGGATTGTGAGTATGCTCCATCTTTGGAGTAGTTGTACCTCCGTGTCTGGATTTTTACATGACTGTTAAGATTGTTATTAACACATGTAGGGAACCAATTTCGAGCCTTTATTGTTCTGTTACTCTTGTAATTATTTCCCCTAGTTGATCAATTACTCTTGTAATTGTTTGGAATGTTACTTTCTTTTTTTATTTATGAGTTTATGATTTCCTTGGATCAAACTCAATCCTGCCCCTTCCACAAAAAAAAAAAAAAAAAAAAGCATTTCCTGTTTGAGCAGCAAAAGGTGTCCCTCTTCTTGTGCCTGACCCCAGAAGATGGGTATTTCTTTTCTTACGAGGACACTAGGGCTCCATTTGGATAGATGTGAATTTCAAATTAAGAGATTTGAGGTTGGATTTATAGAAATTTAGAGTAACTTAATTTAGGTGGATAGAAAAACTAGTAAAAGATGTATTTTGGTACTATCTTTGTAGTTAAATGGGGGAATCCTTAGCACGATTTCAAATAACTGCTTTTGCATAGGTATTTCACAATGCTTCATGATAAAGCTCTTTAATATGATCTTCAAATACTTTTTTGGGTGAAATCTTCAAATACTTGGTGTTAAAATTCAATGTATAAAGAGAAATAGAGAATTGTATTATTGATTGATGTATTGATAATTTGTTCATTTATTGAATGTTACAATGATTCCTATATATAGAAGAGTAGGTGGTAGTAGGTGGTAGATGGAGTAGGTAAAGTGGAGGTGGTAGCTGGAGTAGGTGAAGTGGAGGTGGTAGTGGTGTAGTGGTTTAGTGGAGTAGGTGAGGTGGTGTGTGTAGTGGGTTAGGTTTAGTGGGTGAAGTAGGTGACAGGTTTTAACAGCCCCCCGCAAACTCAAGGGGATAGGAACTAACCAACTTGAGTTTGGAGAGAGTAACAAAACAAGAAAATACATAAAAATAAAGAGGATAGGAGACACTGTATGGTCGTGTCAGACCGTTGGTGAAGACACTGTATGGTTATGGCAGACCGATGTAGAAGACACTGGCTCGTGTTGGACCGATGTAGAAGACGGTTTATGGGGTCATGTCGGACTGTTGTAGCAGACAATGTTGTGACAGTTGTTGTGACAGTTTACGGAGTCTGCTGTCGGACCCTTGTAGAAACTACCGGAATCAATGTCGGGACAGTTTACAGAGTCTTGTCGGACCCTTGTAGAAACTAACCGGAATCAATGTCGGGACAGTTTACAGAGTCTTGTCGGACCCATGAAGGAGCTAACCGGATCAATGTCGGGACAGTTTACAGAGTCTTGTCGGACCCCTAAAAAATCGCACCCTCAAAAGGTGTGCCCAATCGGTCAAAAAGCGTGCCATCAAAAGGCTGCCCAATCCATAAAAGGCGTGCCATCAAAAGACGGGCCATCAAAAGGCGCGCCCATGTTGTCGTCGAGCGCCGAGCGGCGCATGATGCGCGTGTCTGCCTTTCGTCAGGTCTCTTTATAAACTGAGGCGGAGGCTGTGCTTGAGACAGAAGCGAAGACAAAAAAACTTTGTGAAAAAACTTCTGAAAAAACTTTTCATTTTCTGAGAGAGATATTCGTTTTCTGAGAGATTGTTTCTAAGAGCTGCAAATCTTGAAACACTCTGTAATACTCGGTTGCCCCAGAAATGGCCTCTTCTTCCCGTTCAGCTACCCAGAATATGGCCTCTTCGTGCCCGTGGTCTGCTCACTCTCTTTCCCGACCCTAACGAGTCAACAAGAGAGATAACTGGTGCGGTGGCCAGTGAACCTCAAACCAAGCGCCTCTGGTTTTGCTCCGTTGAACTTTCCGATGCGGTCGGTGGAGCAAAAATGGCAGTGCAAACTGATATTGAGGCCAATCAGTATAATTTGAAGCATGTGTGGAGACCATGACGCGCGTCACAAACCTGTCGCACCGGCTGCAGAGTAGGACAAATGAGGTGCAACAGTTAAACGCCCAACTGGCTCTGCTCCAACGCATGTATAAGGATGGCGCGAGCAGAGATAAGTGCTTAAAGGCGGAAAATAAGAGCTGAAGCGGAAGGCACCGTGATTTCCGATTTGGGGGTCCGCCATATGCTGCAGTGGAGGAGCAGGGAGTAGTGATCATGCCCAGTGGAGTGGGGAACAAACGGAGGCAGCACCGTTAAGGGCCGCCCAGGACGGAGGCAAGAAGAAGAGACCGGCGGCAGAGTAGAGAAGAAAATCCGGCCTATGGATGTAGTTGTTTTGTGTGTGTTGTTGTTTTGTTGTTTTTTTTTTTTTTTTTTTTTTTTTGTGGTTTTTGTGTAAGTGTGATCGGGGTGATCCCTGAGAGGAATAAAAGAAGGTAAGGTTTGGTGTGCAAATCTTTATCACACGGATTTGTGAAAACAGCAATGTTGGATATTTTTTTTTTTATTTTTTGAAGATAAGAATAAGAATAATAATAATAATAATATAGGAAGGTAGAAAGCATAGGCTGCAAAAGTTGACAGAGGGGGAACTTTGGGTAAGAGAGTATAAAAAAAATTATATATCATATATATATATTAAATAGAGAAGTGGGAGTGGGTTGGGAGGTGAAAAAGATATAATCAACAATTGGGGTTTTTGGAAAAGCATCAGTGTCGATCAGGCGCCTGGGGACTTGACTAGTGATGGCCACGACGGGGCTTGTGGGTGGTTCGGTTTTGTAAATTTTTTTTTTTTTTTTTTTTTTTTTTTTTTTTGAAATGAAAGAACGTAAAGTAGTGAAAATGTGAAAATCTCTCTTTTTTTTTTTTTTTTTACAAATATCTATTACTCTTGAGTAATAGAAACATAATAACACTTGTTCTCTTTAACAATGAATACAACAATAGTAATAGTAAATGTCAAGCTTTCGCTACGGAGTTACAAATAAATAAATACAAGCATCCATGCTCAATGAGATTGCACATAAGAGATACATGAACTTCTTAACTCTCTAACCAATCAATCTAAATTCTCTTCCTGTAAGAAAATAAAACAACGAGGGGTAAGCACAATTGCCCAGTAGGAATCCCATAGTTCTAAAATAATAACCATCCTATAGATAGAAATGATCATGCATGCAGGGTGATACCATATAGTACGGTGATGTTTTGTAATTTCAAAATATCATATGTAAAGTATCTTTTTCTCAAAATTTATTTGAACATTTAAGGAAAAACCTTCAACATCAAAACTATCTATTTTCATTAGAAAACAAACCGAGGCAAGGCACAGAAGAGGGTTCGGAAATCCGGAGGCAGGGCTCACGGCCGCGACTCTGAGAGTTCTAAACGAGCATAATATGCAGTATCACCAAGCGCTCAACTGGTGACGTCTGAGTCTTAAGGTCGGTCAAAAATGGGGTGTCTACAGCTGCTATTATACGTAGTTGATCATTTTATCCTGGGAAATAGACGTCCACAATCTAAAAGTACGATGGAGATGACGAATCTGTCTTAAGGACATAGTGTTAAACACTGGACTTGATTAAAAAATTTGTTCAAGAAATTAATTTGGTAAGTAATTAATTTACTTTCTATTTTATTATTTTCTTGCTTTAGATTTTGATTTTATTTTATTACATTTTATGAAATATGTTTTTTATTTTATTTATTTATCTACAGCTGCTCCTCCCAGGGCACATGCTTTCGCCATTCCTATATTATTATTCTTCTTCTTATTATTCTTATTCACAATCACATAAATAAATACTTAAATCAAATTTCAAAACAAAAAAAAACAAAAAAAAAACACAAAAACCCACCACCCACACATTGATTTGCACATGTCTCTCCACTTTCTTTTTTTTTATTATTATTCTTATTTTTTATCTCTCTCCTATTTCTACTTTCCCTCCACCATCTCCTTTCCTATTTCTTTTCTTTTTTTTTTATCTTTACTTTCCTCCATCTTTTGACAAGCCCACGCCACATTCCTATTTCTTTACTTTACTCCCTCTACTTTTCTATTTCTTTTTTATTTTATTTTTTATTCTTTTACCACTCACACACTTCTCTTCTTTTTTTTATTTTCTTTTATATTTTATTTTCTTCCGCCTTCCTCTCCGTTTATGTCAGTGTGCTACATAGCCTTCTCTCCGCATGTAAGATAAACTGATAGAGAGAGAGCATAAATTGTGTATATATTATGATTGATGTATTACAAGATTGTTGTGTATATTGATATTTTGTTATGTTTACAATGATCAAATATATAGAAGAGAAGAAGGTAGTAGGTGAAGTGGTAGGGGATGAAGTGGAGGTGGTAGTGGTAGGTTAGGTGAGGAGGTGAGTGTGTGTGGTAGATAGTAGTGGGTTAGGTTTAGTGGGTTTAACATTAACCTATAGCTCTGATACCATGATAAAATTCAATGTATAAAGAGAAATAGAGAATTGTATTATTGATTGATGTATTGATAATTGTTCATTTATTGAATGTTACAATGATTCCTATATATAGAAGAGTAGGTGGTAGTAGGTGGTAGATGGAGTAGGTAAAGTGGAGATGGTAGGTGGAGTAGGTGAAGTGGAGGTGGTAGTGGTGTAGTGGGTTTAGTGGAGTAGGTGAGGTGGTAGTGGTGTAGTGGGTTAGGTTTAGTGGGTGAAGTAGGTGATAAGTTTTAACACTTGGGTACACTATCAAACCTAAATTTGAGTTATTTTTCTTGCTTCCTTCTGATCTTGCTAGCCAGTCTAATTCTTTCAAGATCAGATTGAGAGATTGTTAGATCCACATCCTTCCCCTTGCATTGGAGGATCCTGCTACGTGGGAGATGGATTTGTTGATATAGCTGTAATTTTGTGAATTTGGCTTTTTTCGAAATACACTTCAAAAGGAATCAGTGCATGAGCTTTTAATGAATTTGAAAGAATTTGTATGGAAGTTGTGACAAGTCTGTCTTTTAATCATATTGACCTACACTTGCAAAACTTCCAAATCTGAATTCTATCATAAGTACATATCTAGCTAGGATTCTCTCTCTCTCTCTCTCTCTCTCTCTACATATATATATATGTTGACAAGTGACAACTGTAGTAGTATTTATGATTTTAGTTAAAAGTAGTCATATGAGATCATTGCCACCATCACCGTCATTATTATTATTTTTTGTTTCTAATGACAGCATATCTTGACATACCATTAATTTCGTTTTGATGGCATCTCCTTTTTCAGGCCACCTGTACCTGGGGCAATATCCAGTGCTCGGTTAGGAGAAGCAGCGCATCGTCTGATCAAGAACACACTGAATCTCAAACCCAATCACAAATCTTCTGAATCTTCGGAACAAACTCGGTTAGGAGAAGCAGCGCATCGTCTGATCAAGAACACACTGAATCTCAAACCCAATCACAATTCTTCTGAATCTTTGGAACAGACTTCATATACAAATTCCCCAAGCAACCATGTAATTAGAAGGCCAAGGCCAGCCAGACCGACTTGGTATCAAAGGGCCTTGATTGAGGATCCAAGTTTCTCATGCAGAAACTATAATCACCCTCGAGCAATAATGGGTAACCCTGGATTTGTGCTCTCTCGGTGCAAATTGCAAGCCAACAGATTTAATCAAGAACAGCAACGCAACTTTAGGGCTGAGATGTCTGCTTTGACAATTGGCGATGACAGAACCAGGCCAAATGCATTGGTGTCTCCGAGGATGCCAAATTCCGAACAAATTCCAAATATTCGTAACCAGTCTGTGCGGAACATTAGTGCACTTCCATCTCCACCTCCCAAGCAGATGATTGGACCAACAGTTAGAAATACCGGTGTGTATAGTAAGCAACAGAAGACTTCATTAGCTGCAACATATGGGAAGCAGGTGAAGAAAGTTTATCGGGTCAAGAGCCAGGGGTCTCCACCAGAATCTTCCTGATGCTGGTTATCAGCACCGATGTATGTTATTGTAATATTATCATATCTCAGTCATTCTGCTTGCAATAGCCTCGTCCAAGAACATAATGCCAAGCTCCAAGCGTGACATGTCATCTTCAAGTGCAACAAAGAATACCATCTTCTCAAGTTAATTGGTGCGTGCTAGTGTAGGAACATAGTGCTAGTGTAGGAACATAGTAGACGATCAAGTTTTCTTGATAGGAGGACATGGATCAAGTCCCCATAGCATTGGGTGAAAAAAGAAGAGAAAAAAAAAAAAGAAAAAGTAAAGAAAAGAAAAGTAACAGGTAGCAAAATGTTCTAGTTGTTCTGATTGGATTTACCATAGCTGACAATATCCCATTCACAGCCTTACCCTCTTCTAAATTTCCCCTTTTTGTTGGGTTGTTGAAGAGGATTGTAATTACCTTAACTTGCTGCTGGGATTAGATATATTTTATCTTATTGTTTTTTCCCCGTTCATAATTTCCTTGACAGGTTCGTGACAGGATTAGGAGTAATGTTGATCCCACTGTTAATTTGTGGGGAAAATGTGATCTATACCCAGTTTGCTTATTGTTTGTGTTTGGACACTACTTGGGAGAGATATTTCTGCTCCAAGTACTTGTTTCTTGACCTTTAGAAAGCTTGGTGAAGTGGAGAACTATGAAATCCAACCCAAGCATGTTTATCTTTATAAGAACAGTGCATTTCGTGCTTTGATTGTGAACAAGAAAAAAAAGGGAAAATTTATATGTAAATGACCGGGATATTATTTGGATGATGTTGATGCTTGCTTTCACAGTAGTGTTTTGCAGGACAAAATTACTTTGTTTCAGCTTAGTAAAACACAGGCATTGTATCCTTATGAATTTGAGGCAGATATACTTGAAAATGTATTTGGATCATTGATTGATCAGGTTTGGATCAAGTTTGTTTTTATTTCTTTTGTAAAGGTATTTTTGCAGCGTTTTGTTTCCCTTTTAGGGTTGCTAGGGACTCATTTTTTAGGAATTGAATGTTGTTTTCACATTGAAATGCTACTGATTTTGTATGCTGGAATGAGGCCTTTTAACACCAGGGAGATACCACCTTAACCCCAGCGTTGCAGACTAAAAAATGTGACGTATCACATACTGATTAAAAGTAAAGGATATTTAGCTAAATTTTCATAAATTTTAGAGTATCGAATTATTTCTTTTACAAAATTAAAATTATATTATTTCTTGCATAGCGTTATAATATAATATAATATAATATAATTGTAAGGATAAATATAAAAATATTTTTTTAATATTTTGTTTAGTTTTTTTATAAGAACATTTAAGTTAAAGTAATAGAATTTGTCAAATTCATATATCTTTATTGTTTTATGCATGTTCTCTATAACTATATAAAAAGTAAGGATTAACAAGAAAATATAATTTGGTTCGAAGAAAAAAAAAGAGAATATAACAATAAGAAAAATAAATAAACAAATTACTGATTTAAATTAATACTTAATTCTTAAAGGTTAGTATTTTATATTATAAAATTATGGTGTGATTTCTCAACATTGTTTAGTTTATTTGTAACTCAATATTAAGTTTTGTTATATTGCCGTATCAATATCGTATCTATATTTTGTATCCGTATCCATGCTTTTGCAGATTAGTTTACTACGATTTCGTGAAGTAATCAGGTAATGCTACTTTTCAATTGCATATTTTATTATGACAGTTTGTCCTATTTTGAATCGAGTTGTTTGTAAAACAAATCAAGCCATTCGTTCTCGGTTTGTGTTTAGTGTTTAAAAATTTTGAATGAGATTGACTTGACACCGGTGACCATTGTAATACCCTCTTGGGTCTGTTCTGCCATTCTCAACCCTTCTTTCATTCTAACCTTTTTCAGTGTCGATCTCATTAAACTTCCTATCCAACAGAGCAACCCAACCTCTTTCCACTGCAAATACAATTTGTGTTTGGTGCAAATGCAACTTGGGTAATTCACTAATATTGCATAAATTTGTAGAAATTATCAAATATAGGATCCGCTTGGCATGTTAGTTGGCTTTTTAACTTTTTTGGTTATTTTAGCCTGAGACTAAAAAGTCTCGTTTGGAATGGGTTTTTTTATTTTTTTGAGAGAAAAAATTAAATGATTATAGTTTAGATGTGACATTTTATTTTATTAATTTTTTAGTTTATTTTATTTTTTTGTGACTATTTTAGTTCCATAGCCTTATGCCAAACGAGTGCATAATCTAGATCATTTGTTCCTATTTTGTGTATTAGAAGTGCTCAATGGATATTCTGATATATCTAAATCGATTGAATCGAACCGACCTGCCGCATTTTGGACGGATATGTGATAACGAACAAACGGTTACAGAATAATTTTTTTCAATTCATCTAATTTTGAATGAATGGCAGATTTAAAATTTCTTTACCCATGACCAAACCGTCAATCACACTTATTATTATCTGTCTATTTTTTTTTTCATAGGATTGCCTTTGATCATATAGACAACCCTTTGGACCAATAAGACGCAAGGGGATAAAAAAGGGAACATGAAAAGGAGTAAGAATATATATAATGGACTCACTAACCGATTAATTAATGTGCGGTGTTAAAAATAAAAACATGTAATGAAGAGATTATTGGTACATGTTTGAGATGTTAATCTTATTAGATTTAACTTTTTGAGTCCTTTAGCAAGTAGGAGGAATGCTTAGGAAAGGGAAAAAGTAATAAAAATAAAAATGATAGAGACATCAAATAAATTATTAAATATTCTATCATATATTTATAGGGATACTTACATATAGGTCCTAATAAGTTTTAACGACAATTTATAAAAATCATGACAAAAAAGTCATTAATTGTCAATTTTTAGCGATGTATATAAAAAATTGTCACAAAAAAATTATTTTTAGCAACAATTTTACTAAGACTTATTTTCAATGGGACTTGATGAGAATCTCAAATATTTGATTTATAAAAATCATGACAAAAAAGTCACTAATTGTCAATTTTAACGATATATATAAAAAATTGTCACAGAAATTTTTTTTTTAACAATAATTTTACTAAGACTTATTTTTAATAGGATTTGATGAGAATCTCAAATATTTGATTTTAAATAAATTACCAAATATTTGATTTTAAAAATTATTGCAAGTCCCCCATCTATGTGAATATTTAAAATCAAATATTTAATAATTTACTTGAGTCGTAACGTTGCTTAGAAGAAAGGGGAGAAGGGATGCACGAGTCTTTTTTCACTTTTATTCTTATAAAATATATTAAAATGGTTCTTAAGGTATTGTATCTTTATTATTTATAATAGCGGTAATATTATAATCTTAGACATAAAAATTCAGAAATTCCTCAGAATATTATATCTATGACTTAAATTCATATTATATGTAAACTTCACATTATGTCAATTTAATTTCAACCACACAATACACTATCTAGAAAAATTTAAGTAGTTGTGCTTCGGATCAAAACATTTTTGTTATTGTAGTGCCTCAAGTACTCATTAAATTAATAAATCTCAAGCTATAAAATTAAATTAAACTTTTTATTATTTTTAAACAATTAATACACAATTTCAAAATATCATTGGAGGAGACACTCTAATTGATCCTTGATTCTTATGGAATCAAAGCAATGAAGATTCCGTCAAATTGGGAGTTGGCTATAGTGTGATTGATTAGCTTGCGACTTGTGATGAAAAGAAACTCCAATTCGGTGACCAGTGACTCATCCACCCAGTGGTCTCGTCCCACACGCAATAGCAAAAGAAACTCGTGAACCAAACCTAACCACCCCCCAACCCACCACTCCCTTCAAAATACTTTTATTTTTTAAATTTGTCTGAAAAAGTATTTTAAAAAAGAAAAAAATAATAATTTTTTTAGTGATTATTTTTTAATTATATCTATATATATTTGTTATTTTTCACGTTTTATTTTCACGTTTTATATCTATATCTGAAAAAGTACTGTTATTGGCCAGGATAATGATTGTGTCATCATTACCTTGGCCAATAAAACGTGAAAATAATGATGACACAAATGCAAATAGAGATCATATCACTAAATATTTACTATTGTAGTATTTTTTGTTTATGTAACCCACTTGTAATTTGTAATAGAAAATAAGCATTTTATTATCCTGGCCAATAACAGTACCCAAATAAATTTCTATATCCACATTTTTTTAGATAGTGAGTTTTGGTTGAAATAAAGAAGAAAGATCTCATAGCTATAGTTTTGCATCAATTTTTATGTAATGGTTAAAATCTATCAATTTTTATGGTTTGGTGGTCAGTTTATTGTGCAGAAAATTAAATAAATGAAAAATAAATAAATTATATGCTACTTGGTGAATAAATCAATTTAAACATAAATTTTCCAAATTTATAGGTAAACAAAATAGTGAAAAGTAAACACATAAATGCTACGTAAAATTCAAGCACAACAAAAGTATAAGATTTTAAACAAACAAAAAAATGTAAGTCCCACAACACAGAAACATCTATATAAAAATCAGACAAAATACACCAGCTAATGCTCTGCAATAGAAAAAAATAAACAACAAATTAAACACACCAGCCAATGCTCTGCAATACAAAAAAAAAATGCCAAATAACAAATTGAGCACACTAGCCAGTGCACTGCAATACAAAAAAAATGTCAAATAACAAATCAAGCACACCAGCCAATGTTCTATAATATAAAGAAAATGCAACACCCTTTCTGATAAAAAGATATATGAAGGCAAAAATTCAAATTCAACCAAATAAAAATATGATTAGTTTTCTTTAACCTAATTCAAGAGCATATTAGGAAGAAAAAACAAAAAAAATAAAATAAAATAAAATACATCACCTAGTGTGTTACATTTACAAAAACAAACTCATAGCATAAGTCAATAATTCAAATGAATATTATTATCTAACATAAATCTAAACTTAGTTATAAATTTTACATAGATAAAAGGCTTTACAAAACTATTGTAAGTAATAAATTTCACATCGATCGGAAACTTTACAAAATATGAATCGTAGCTAGCATATGTACGCTTTTCACAAAAATAAATATGAGATTCAAACTTGTTCTTTCTTAGAAATCCTAATAGCGCCTCATCACTTTCCAAAAAGTCCTTGTATCAACTTGTATGTATCCCCAGTGAGGAGCATGCACGACAATCTACTAATTTATAAAAACAAAAAAAGTTAGTATATTAATAAAAGAAAATTTATAAATATATCAAAACACTTTCAAATTGAAATTACCTTGTTACATCCCCATCGAAGCAATCTAGTTGTATTTATCTTTTTGAGCTCCATATATTTTTTAACCCAATCCTACAAAAGTCGACACATTTAGTAAAATATTTTAAAAATAACAATTTGTAATCAATAGAAACAAATTTATCAATAAATAAATTGTACCTTTTGACAAAAGTGGCTTGATCCATAAGTAACACTATAACAAAATTTAAGGATAAACAATGTTTGTAGTAGAATCTGGCTCATCATTGGGAAGGAGGACACTTATATGATCAAAAAATGTGCATCTAGATAGGGCCACATACAATTTCCCATGACTAAACACTGGTGTGCGCAAATCAACTCCAACAAATTTCACAGATTGTTCTTGAGATTTATTAATGGTCAGGGCATATGCCAATCGAACTGGAAATTGACGTCTTGTCATTCAGAAAGGCATTTCTGAAGAAGACGATGTCAAGGATATCCTTGGTATGAATACCAAATTGCCACATTTTTTTCAGTTAAAATTTGAACTTCAATTATGCGAGTATTGCATCTAGAAACCATCAATCTTGTACCATTGCACAGTCCATCTTTTGGTGCAATATTTTTTAACAACATTATAGGACAACCCACTTTCAACTATACCTTAAAAGTCGGTAGCCCAGGAGGATCTAATGAATTTAAATATTCATTAGGATATCTATTTATTATAGTACAATCAATTTCATCATCTTCAGACATCTTGTCTGCTGCCAAATAAGTATGTGTGTTACCCGAAAAAATATTCAATGCTGCAGTATTAACAGCACTGACGTTATCATTCCGCACAGAAAGAATTGTACGTTCAGTTAAAAATGTTGCAGTTGATGTCATTGCCACATCCAATTGCGGATAAACTACTGCGATGATGTCTTTTAGATCTTGGCATTTGTGTATTGTTGATGGAAATTTAACAATTTCTTGAGGATTAGTCACAATCTATTTATAAAAATAAATAAATAAAATAGTAAGTAAAATCAATTAAAGTACATAAACGTAAATGTAATTTCGTCAATTTAAAAGAACCATATAATAGAGAAAAAGTTTGAAGAAATATTACATCCATCAAAAATTTTGCAAAATTAGCATTTTCAAGATTTGCATGATTCAAGCGCATGATCAAATTTAAAGACAGAACATGTATATCCTTCCATAGAAAAGAGTGTCTTAATGATGCATTCACAATTTTCTCACGGACTCCTTTGGTTATAACTGGTAAGATTTGTTGAAAATCTCCACCAAGAACAACAGTGATACCCTCAAATGGCTTTTCACTATCACAAGTGTCCCGAAGTGTGCGATCAACTGCCTCAACACAATGTATATGCTGCATAGGAATTTCATCCCAGATTATAAGTTTTGTTTCTCTAAACAATTCTGCTTGTAATAATTGCTTGCTAAATCCACAAATTGAATTTTCCAATACATCCAACAGAATGGAAAATGTCGAATGAGCAATACGACCTCCTACCAATAACAATGATGCAATTCCAGATGAAGCCACAGTAATAACAATATGGCCAAGGCTACGACACTTCAATGCAATCGCATTGTACAAAAACGTTTTCCCTATTCCGGCACTTCCATTCAAAAAGAAAATAGTTTCTTTATTTTCAAAGAGTGAGGAAGTGATTGCATTATAAGCTGTTCATTGATCATTGTTGAGGCGATCAATAATAATTTATACATCTACCTGTTGTGCCTCATTCTGCAGTTGTTGATGTTCGAATATCAACCTGTTACCAACTACTGCACTCAAAGTTGTAGAAGGTTGTGGCATTTGCGGAAAGTCAATTAAATTTTTTCCTGATTCTTGGAGCATTTGATTTAAAAGATATAGACCATAGTCTTCAATTTGAGCCTCAGTAGGTTCAGAAATGGCAAACAATGTTCGAATCTTATGTGCAAGATCATCACATATATGCATTAAAAATTGATTCCACAAAGCATATGGTTGCAGTGGAGAGCACTGAGTAAGAATAAAAGTAAATAATCTCCTTAATTGATAACCAGTTTTCATAACTGTAGCCTCTTTAAGGCATTGTATCCATTCTTTATCATCTTCTAAAAATCCTCTTACAACACATGCTGATTTAAACGTATCATGCAAAATATTGTTGACTGTGCGTAAGCATTGAAACGATTTTGGTCATTTGACAATAGTTAATAGCAAACGCAAATAAAATCGCTCACCACAATTAGGGTTAGCAAAGTACATTCTACCGATTGCATAGCCCTGCTGCCTTGGTTTCCATCTATTTTTTGAATTAAGCCAAATAAACTGTTGTGGAAATTCTTGGTAAGTGAATGGACATTCATCTTCCATATAAGTGCAACATGCAAAAAAACCAGTAAGAGTTGACATTTGTTGGCCAGCTCTTGAAACAATTGCTTCTAATGATTCATCAGGATTAAAAAGAACACGGTGCATTCTAGGTAAATGAAGTGCTAAGCATACAACTGTTGGTATCTCTGCATGCAATGGATAACCAAATATTCGCCAAATAGCTTTTGGAGTTCCAATATACCTCGCATCGAGATATTGTTTGATCTCATTTATCAATCCCAACACCAACGTTATACGATCATAACCCTTGTAAATGTACTAGTGTATATACTTGACACATCTCATTCTGGCACAAACTTCCACATTTATGTGACAGTTGAAACATTTAGAAAGATATGCATTGTATGGTACGATGTCTCTGTTATCAACTTTTTTCCCCCTCACAATATGAGCTTGCCTATTATTGCGACGACGATAGATAGGATATCCATCTTGATCCATAGTAGTTGTTTCTACGAACGCTCGAGGGTATCTTTTAGTGCATTTACCATTTTCCATACATGGTGCTTGTGGATTTCGAGCACCACATGGTCCATGTACCATACAACACTTGATAGTTTCAAAAAGCATAGGGTTCATCTTTTGGATTTGGAAATTCTATACAAACCAATTTGTCTACTTGAGCACATGTTTGAATTTTGTCTGGACCCTTAAGAAATAGAATTGCATGCATATGAGGAAGGCCTCGCTTTTGGAATTCAATTGTAAAAACATGCGCAACTTTATTACCAAACACTCGGTTTGTTTCTATCTCCTTCATCAAACACTTTCTTTTTAACTCAAAAGCACAGGCAATTAAATCAGGACGATCAATAGGCTTTTGGTGCGGTAATAATGCCGGAGTAATTTCTGGCCAATTAGGATTTGCAGTCATGGTGAGAAAAATGTATGGATGTTGGTTGTATCGTGTGATAGCCATTGAGTCTTGAAAGATTTCAAACATGTGTCTAGGACCTCCAGGAAATGAAGATGGCAAAACAAACCTTTGACCAATTTGGTTGGGTTGAAGGTCATTAGATCAATATCTGTCAAATCTTGGTAAAGTTCAGCACGGATTTTTCCTTGATTGAGCTTGTAGTAAGTCAACCTATTTTGTTCAGTTGCGGCCCAAGTATCAACCAAAAACTCTTGGAACAATTTTCCAGCTCTCAAAATTGTTGGAAAATTGTTGAATACTCTGTGGGTCGTTCAAACAAACGATAACTATAAAAATCCATTTGAGTAAGCCGATCAGTTAAAGACCGATCACGTTGAACATTATAGCCACCCCGGTCTTTTTCCATTTGCTTATTGTGTCCGGACTTAGGTTCCGTAGCTCCTGCCATTGTATTATGATTGTTACCGTCCTTTATTTTCCTATTTCTGAGTTGGGGGATGCAATGGGCAGGTTTGTAGCAGGTTGGTTGGGCTTGGGAGCAATGGGTTGCTGCCCAGAATTTTGACCCTTCGCTCGAGCGAGCAGTTATTCGCTCGAGCGAACTCTTTGTTTTGATCCGTCGCTCGAGCCAGGGTTTCTTCGATCGAGCGAGGATTGCATTTTGTAGTAAGACCTGAGAGCAGAGGTTTTTGGCTCGAGCGAGCTTTTCTTCGCTCGAGCGAGTTAGTTCGTTCTTCGCTCGAGCGGGAGTTCCTTCGCTCGAGCGTGTGTCTGGTTTCGGACCTGAGGGTTTGAGTTCTTCGCTCGAGCGAGATTTCTTTAGCTCGAGCGAGCTTTTGGGTTGTTGGCTCGAGCAAGGCCTCCTTGGCTCGAGCGTAGATTTTCTGTGTCTGGTCGCTCGAGCGACCAAGTCTTCACTCGAGCGAACCT